GAGAGGTGGTTAACGTAAATTTAAGGAAAAATTGTCACTGAAAATGGGGAGGCTGCAGAGTTTGTCCTTCAGCTTCCTTAAAGTCAGAGTCTCCTGAGCTCCTGCCTCTGTGGACGTATCGTGGCTTGTTTGTTTTAGACATAAAGGGGAATTCCAGTGATTTTACACATCAAAGGCGGTTTTCGGGTCTTCTGAGAGTGCTGCTGCTCATGTGAAAAAAAGTTGTTTAAAGCGTTTTGTGTCTCCAGAGGGAGCTGCATGAAGTCTGCCTCTGAAGCTGGTGTTGTACAGGCACAAAGAAGGGAGACCTCTGTAGTCTGCTGCATTAGCTGCTTGTGGCATAAATCAAAGGCTGCCAGGTCTGTAAAGCTGTTCTCACACGTGCACTTCGGCTCTTAATTTTTCAAGAACTTACCTGAAAGATGGTGAGAACAGAAACGCCCAATGGACTGAGATCGCACGTTATCTGGTCTTTAATCTGCTCTAACTCACTCACAGTTAATCTATATGTCAGAATATTACAAAGTAAGAAGTGTTGACTTCTGTTTACTGCAAAACCACGCAGTATCTGAAGTACCGCAACCACCATTGAAGAAGACAGCTTCCTGCTAATTTGAGTTGTGGAAAAAATATTTACCTTTTCAAGAAATTGTGTGCATGTGCACACAATTGTGTGCTAAGGGGCAATCAAAAATAGCCCAGTGCTTAGAGGCGATATCAAAAGAGCAGCAGAGGACATTTCAGAGTGTCTGTGTGTTCATGTAGAGTCAGTTTTGTAGGACTTGGATGTAAATAAATTCTTTCATTTTAAATATATGAAAAATATATTAATGCAGATGCATGAATATCTACAATTTAGACTTTAAAATAAAAGTCTCATGCAGTCTGTCCATGCAGTGGACCTGCCAACCCTGCCTGACACATCCGACCCTGTTCATGTCGCATGGTGAGTAATGTACGACGAGATAACGTGTCTCGCTTTGCAGCCCACTGAGAGTCAGATGGTTTTGCGCCTTCTGTTATTCACATGAAGATCGTTGCCGGAGTATTTTTAGCCCATCCCACACACGCTGAACAGTTAATGCGAGAACTATTGTGCTTCTTTACAAAGTACAACCAAGATCTGGGATTAACGCTCTTTTCTCCAGCGCTTTCCGTGTTTACTTCTGTCTCGGTATTAAAAATAAGCTGTACCACTCCAGCTCCATATAAACAGTCACAGTAATACTCTGCTTCTGATTGCTGGTGAATTCAGGAGAATCCACAGTCTGTGGGAGAAACTCAGCTCACAGGCTTTCAGGACACAGCATCAAGCAAATAGGACATTATGACCATTTAGTGCAGTTTATACTCGCTATGAAGCCTCTGCAGATCCACCTTTACCCCTCAAAGCACACTTGCACATGCTCCTTACACAGTTTCAAGGTGAATGTCATTGATCTGTGGAAAAACAGGCCGAATTTGGGGTGCTTATTATTACAGTCGAACCCCAATTTCAGGCAGTGCCATTTAAGTGCGAGGTCAGAACTGCTTTAATATCGTGTTAAAATGACAAATAAAAATGAGTTAGAGCTTCAGCATTAGCAGAACTGAACCCTTTTCTTCGCCTGCTGTGAGGCTTTCATTAGTTGTTAAAACAGGAGTCAGCATTTTCTCTCTGCGTCGGCTGTGGGGTTCATTAGTTTTCTGATCGAGACCGGCTCTTCGTGTTCATCATTCACTGCAGAGAGTGGACTATTCACGCTATCCGTTTTTCTCATGTGTGGACATTCACATGCTTTCTCTTCTAATGGAAGTTTCACTCTGTTAGTGAGCCATTCCCACAGGACAGCTGGTCATGGATGTGGAGTACAGTATGGGGTGGAGGTGGAGGTGGAGATATGTGGTGGTGGTGGCGATGTATTAAGTGACGTCTCTGCGATACGAGACCTGCAGGCTCACTCTGGAGATTCGCTCTTCTCTGTTCTTATTACGCCTGCATACAGCCATGTAGGATGCTCTCTGCAAGGTGGTGTTGGGGGGGGTTGCCATGGAGATGGGCTGAAGTGGTGCTAGGTCCTCTGTGATTGGTTTAGAAGGCGTAGCATACATATTGCATAGCCGAGAGAAGAACCACAAAAGGAGACGGGATCGGCGAGCACCCCAGGAGTCCCGTTTTTTTCAGCAGCTCTTCAGTCACGGCCTCTCGGAGTCAGAGAGAGCTACGCAAATCCTCACGTTACACCAAAGTGTATCGAGATTCAGGCTAATTACTGCTTCAGATGAGCGTGTCTGAACAGCAAATCACACACGGGACTTTAAATGTTGACCTTGAAACTGAATCAGGGTTCAGATGTGAATTACCTCCTTTTTAGATGTTAAATGTTCCCAACATTGTTCAGAATTCATTCTAAAAATCATTATACAGCACAAGATTGAGAGAAACTGCTCTTAAATCTGGTGTTACTGCAGGGGATAGTCATGGATCACTTGGCATACTGCAGCAGGTTGAAGACGCTGTATCTGGGGCAGTTATTGTTTTTGGGCTCCGTACAGAAACCTTATCTCATCTATTTCACTGACCCTCAGTAGATCTGTGTCCGGGATATTCTGGGCATATTCTTTTATAGAGATGCTATAAAAAGAGGAGCTGCGGCAGGAAAAGCATCCTGAGCTTAAATCTGTTCTGAAACAACAAACTTGGAGGGAAATGCGTAACATTTAGGGAAAAATAACATTTTTAAAACCTAATTTCTGTCAGATTTGACCGGTTCAGCAGTTCAACAGGAGTGATTATGTCTGAGTGATCAATGAAATTAAAGTTAAATGACATAATGCTTCATAAAAGCTTCCTAAATGCTTTTCAAGATGAGTGATGAATGGTGAGACTTGTTTTGGTTTGACTTTCTATTTTTCTGGTTAGAATGCTTTCTAGAATAAATTCCAGATTTTCATAGATTTTCATAGTGGAGACGTATGACACAACAACAATCAAGCTCTTTCCTTTTTTGACAGTAAGGCCTGAATTATGCTTCAGCTTTAAATCCATATTGTAACTAAGGGCATAACCGGTAACTCCTTTTAACCCTGTAACACTGTAACCTTCCACTTAACCTGACATGCACCTCCTGAGAAATGTAACCACATGTCAGGTCTGCACGACTTTAATAGCGTGGAAGGTTGTGGTGTAAGGTCAAGAGGGGTTTCCAGTTCTGTCATAAGTTTGGACAGAAAGTCTAAATTAAGCTTTACCGTAGGTTGTTCTCTGCTCTCCACACCAGAGGATTGTTGATTCCCTCTCAGTATCAGCTCCTATCATTTGAAACTGGGCCACTGCTTGATTAATTGATCAATTGATTGGTTGATTTTTCTACATGTCTTGGGTGTACTGCGTGAACAGGAGTAGCCTGAGCACAAAATCCTGAGGGACTCCAGTGCTGAACATCGAGTGGAGGAAGCGTGACATCCAAACTATTTCTTTATGTCATAAATCTGTAACATAGTAAGAGGAAGCGCATTAAAATAAGTAAATACATGTTTCTTTTGGTGTTGTTTTAAAAATAAGTTGTGTTTTTTTATATCCCAATCATCATTACGACTCTCATGATGGCTTTTTAGAAAACAGGTTTCTCATATATTCAAATAAAGTCCATGAGTTGCAAGAATTGTGCCATTTAGTTTGGGTCTGCTTGGGGTTAATAACTCATGACTTCACACAGTAGGCCAAACGATGTTTTCTGGGATTCAGATTTTAGCCATTTCAAAGCTGAGACTCCGTAGCAGTAATCAGCTTTTTTCACTATAGCTCTGCCTCTGAAGCTGATGTATATAGTACTGTAGTATTATACACACAAACTCATAGTAATACTACAATTTTTAGTATGTAGGAAACCAGAAATGTTTTCCTGCTCTCTTAAGTCTAGAGTCTACTTCTCACATACCAGAAAATGATCAATAACTCTGCAATCTTTTAGCTTATTGTTTTATAAGTTTAGTGAAGATGAGATGAAATGAATAGTAAATACAACTTGATGTGAAAATATGCGTGTGTTTGTGAAGTAATTCTTTTTCTTTTCTCCCTTACAGACTCAGTGAGCTCGGAGCAAAGACAGAAGCTTGCGAAGGAGCGGAGGGAGGAAAGAGCCAGATACATCGGTAAGAAATGAACAAGCGGATATAAAACACGATGGACTCAGCTGTCAGCTCCACAAACCACTGCTATTGGATGCATGAAGCAGGGATTTCTTGTAACCAACTTAATGTGTCCACATCTTTTATCTTTTGTATCCCTCTTTGTGAATCTGTCACTCTGCTCTGAAGTGACTGACGGTTATTGACGTCTCTTATTGTTTCTTCCTGCATGGCGCTCAGAACAGCAAACTCAGCTGCAAGGTAAGGGGCTTCACTAAAAGCTTTCGCAGCAGTGGGAATAATCAGCATCATTATGTGGATCCTTTTTCCTTTCTGCCGTGCCCGTTCTTCTCCCCTCCATCACCGATCGCTTTGGTTATCTGTCGCCACTCGGTGGAAACTTTTGAACTCCGTGATCGGTCTGCAGCCTCATTTTTGGTTTAAATGTATCTGCTCCTATCATGTTTGAATCTATTTTGGCTTTTGTGTTTTTGCATTCCCACCCAGCGTGCATGCTCCACACCTATAATTTGGGTTTTACTTTGTGGCTGCAGAATGAAACTTCTCCTTATAAAAACACAGAGGCGGAGAGAGCGGAGGACGTCTCCGAAGCGCAGGCGGCCAATCGGAGCAGAGCTTAGTGGGCGTTTCCCAGCAGAGACATCCCATAGAGCCCAAGGCAGTTGGCGTAAAAAATGAGCAGTCATTACCATGAACTGAGACCAGGCCTCGCAGACAGATTAGATTTAATTACTGCTTACATTAGTATCAGTTATGTGGTCATGCTGCAGCAGTTAAAGTTAAACGTCGCTGCCTTTTTATCGAGAATATCCCAGGTTCAGACGCTCGGAGCTAAGTTTCGTTTTCAGCCGTCTGCCCCTGCGCGTAATTATGTGGCAGTGTTAAGCCTTTCTTCAGTGTAGAGCCTGCAGTTTGTTGCACACAGTATGCAGGTGATGCCTTATATATGACAGCTTGTTATGTAACTGCAACTGTGCTCTAGATATTTTGTGCAGAGATGAGCATGTGAAAGCAAGTTCCCAAGCATTAACCCGACATATTTTTCAGTCCTGTTATGGATAATTAGATTTTTTCAGGAATAGGATTTAAGGAGGAGTGAAGACGTCTTTCTCGCTGTTGATGAAGTGCAGACGTGTGCGTGCCGTTGGCTCATTAGCGAAGATGAGCCGCAGTAAACCGAATTAAATATAAAACATGTATTTGTGTCAGACCATTGCTGCATCCTTGCATAGCTTAGTGCAGTTTTCCTGTTGCTGGTTAACTCATAAACAAAGACATTTCATGCCGTTCCTTCAGCTGGATCCAGCCTGTAACCCTCCCGCATCTTCACCCATACTTACCCGTCCATCTTTTTTCCATTCTTTTCATATAAAGTATGATATGGAAGCTGATTGAAGACGAGTAAGTGCTGCGTAAGATGAAGGCTCTTAAACTGAGAAACGACTGATTGCAGTCTGATCGTTACCCGGAGAAATGAGCCACAGCAGTGTGTGTGCACAGAAAAACTGGCATATGCTGGAGGGTGCTGTAAAAGACAGCAGGGAACTTCAGCTTATTTACTGTTATCAGGATTAAAGTGTAATGAACACAGTGTCTGCCGTCTGTTTTACCCGATTTGTTTGGGTGCTGCTGTTAGAGGCCTTTAAAGATCTTTAGCTGATTATACACTATTACAAATAAAGAACTGACTTTCAATAACAGGCATAAATTACATTTTCTTTTCCAAAATAACATGTGAAATAATATATTAATGATACGCTGGCGTCTAATGCTTATGCTTTAGCCAGGCATGAGGCACAGCTCCAGGGATTTTGGTCCAGACTGAAATATTATGACAACAGATGGATGGATTGCCATGATATTATCTCCCAGAGAATACCTCTTATAATTGTGGTGATTCCCCTCTTCTCCCTCTTGCACCAAACGCAGACAAATC